CCGGGGAGCTTTGGAAAAATTAAAATTGTTGTCCCAAATATTTGCTGATGTTGAGAAATGTTTGGAATATTTTCGAACGACGCCAACAACATTTTATGGACGAAATCTCTGTTGGTCTAACTTTTGTCTTTTTTATCATAAAGTTGAGGACCTCACTGTTGGTGGTGCAGTCTTGCCACCGGATGCCAAGTATGCAGCGGAGAGCCCTTTGGTGGAACTGCTCTAATTTGTGGATGTGCTTCCTGTCTCCGAACCATAGAGGAGGGAGGACAACACAACGGCTTTGTACTCTTTGATTTTTGTTGACAGCCGGATATTGTGCTGGTTTAGTAACTTGCTTTTAGTCTACCGAGAGCTTGGCTGGCTTTGCTGATTCGTGAATCAATTTCCTGATCGATGGAGCCGTCTGTATATATGATAATTCCAAGGTATTTAAAGTTCTTGGTGTTCTTCAGGCGAGAATTATACCAGATTACAAAAAAAACTAGCTGGAGACTTTAGAAAACCATTAGAGGGACCAGTAGAAGAGAAATAGGGCACCATGACAACGACTTTAGAAGACAAAAAAGATCGATGGGCAAAACAAGTACTACCAATGTAGGAATTGAACTTTAGTACGGATAAAATAACTATGACGGAAATTTTAACTTCAGTCACGAAAATGAAAAGTAACAAAAGTCCAGGAAAAGACAAAATTTCCGCTGCGTTATGAGATATTACTTTTGCTATTTAATGAAACCATGGAATGAAGAAAGGGAAATATAATAAATACTACAAAAAAGGGGGAATTAAAAGACTGTAGCAATTGGAGAGGAATAACGCTTTCATCAGTGCCTGGAAATTTATTTTGCGCTATTATCTCGTCTTGTATCAAAACAGCAATAGATGAGAGACTAAGAGAGGAACAGAGATCATGTACAGATCAACTATTTGTTCTGAGAAATGTTGTAGAACAAAGCAAAGAATGTAAGGTCCCATTTTGTTTTACTTTGTGGACTTTAAAAAGTCTTTGATAGCATAGACCGACAAGCCCTGTGGAGAATTCTTGCAAGTTATGATATCCCAAGAAAAAAAAAGAAAATGCAAAAGATCATATCAAAGCAAACCTCTGTTTCGTAGTTGAAGGATAACTATCTACACCTTTTGAAGCAAATGCTGGTGTTAGACAAGGCTGTATATTATCATCTGTACTTTTTAGAATTGTGATCCCTTTTCTAATGAGAAAGACCAAATACATTGAAACTGGCATTGGATGGACAAATGGAAAATGTTTATGAGACTTAGATTTTACAGAAGGCACCTGCCGATTAAACACCAGAATACATGAAATGCAATTTTTTTAAAGCGAACTAGCAATAGCTGCGGAAAAAGTTGGCCTAAAAAATAAATGTATCTAAAACAGAAGTACTACAATTATCATCAGAAACTACGTCCATCACTCTTTATGGAGAACCCCTTGCGAAAATTAGTAAATTCAAGTACCATGGCAGCATTATTTCACAAACTGCAGACTGCCTTGACGACGTCCACCAAAAATGCATTGATCGTTTTTACGAAATTAAAAACTACATGAAGTCAAAGGTCATTTCATTGAAGACGAAATTAAAAATATATAATAGCAATATCTTGGCTGTATTGACGTATGGCTAAAAGATATGGAAAACAAACAAAACAGTTTAACGAAAATTAAAAAGCTTCCAAACAAAATGTTTAGGAAGAATAATAAAATGGAATGAATTTATTACAAACAATGAAGTGTTGGAAAAAGCTGGAATTGAAGATATCAACGTTACCATAAAAAGGAGCAGATGGAGATATATTTAGGACGTGTTCTATGAATGCCGGAGACAAGATTGCCCTATCAGACATGGTATTGGAAACCAACAGGAAAAAGAAAGCGAGGAAGGCCAATTGAAAGCTTTAGAGGCACACTAAGGGATGAGGCAATCACCTAAGGCCTGGATTTGCCCATATTGGGGGACATGGCCAGGGACAGGTAAGTATGGAGTCGACTCTCTCCGCCTTATGTACCTGACGGTATAGGGAGAGAGTAAGTAAAGAGTAAGTATAGATAGATATATAGATAGATAGATAGATAGATAGATAGATAGATAGATAGATAGATAGATAGATA